GTTGTAGTTTTGAGGGCAAAGATTGTCACCACTGCCACCGAATGCAGCTCTGGAGGGCAGCAGCCACCTCGAAGCTCATTCACCTCTGGAGCTGCCAGGCGGGTCCCCTCCCACCTCTGAATGCCGAGCTTTGAACTCTCGCCCGAGCCTCCAACACCTTTACTTTAAAAAGCCTCCTTAATTTGACTATTACCTGCAGGGAAATCTGCTTGCCAAAATTCCAACAGTAACCAGGGGCTGAGATGTTGGAGGTAAATTAGTATTGGGTTTCTGGGCAATTTGCCCTAAATGCTAATGTATAAAAACGCACCTGGGTAAGGGCACTTTTCTTCTGAATCGCAGATTCGTGGTCTACTTAACTTTTCACCCACAAGAACACAAATACTAGCTTTCTTTTTTGAAAACCAAGTACATGAAATAGGTGCTACTGAGATACCTTGAAGATGGGGACTCTTACCCCTCTCAGCCCCTAGCCTAGTGTGGACCCTCGGAATAGCCGCATGCCTGAGGGAAGCTGTGTACAGGAGCCACAGAATTCTGGCTTCAGATTCTACCCTGCTGCTTCTTTACTGGGGTGGGGTCTCGAGCAAGTGTCCCGCTTCTCAGAGAGCCAGGTCCCCCTTCCATGCATGGGGGAGGGTCACGGTGCCCAGCTTTAAACTTCCGCAAAGCTCTGAAGAAGGCGGTGTAGTTAAGGCATCTGAGATGTTATTTCCTGTGCACGGTTGGGCCACAGATTCAGGGTTCTCTCAGCCTTAGGGACCCTCCTGGACTCTCGAGAAACCAACTTTACAGAACTTAATTTTGCAAACTTTGAAAAAACCCACTGCTATTAGAAAAATAAGTTCTTCCTAATCTATTTTTTTAATCATGGAGATAAATTGCATTTATTTTTTTGTTTCTCAGCTGAAAATAAACAACAAACAGAAAACTAGTTATGCCTTTGGTAGAAATTAAAGATATTTTAGTATAAGTCACTTTGCAACCACTTTTATGTGATCATTAAACCCTTGTTACATACATTAATGTTTCTTTTTGAGTACCCTTTCACTTGGGATCTTTTGAAGTTCAAGTTTTTAGGTAGAAAAACCATGTTAGTTACTAAGAAAGTAAACTGACTGAATCTAGGCTTTATATAGCAGACATTTATGATTTAAGAGATGACAGATTTTAAGGAAAAAGGACTGTGAATTTAGAATTCTGAACATAATCAAGCTATCATTTCAGTGTGAAGATGTGAAAAGGCAGAAAACATGCTGTCTACATGTCCTTTATTTTAAAACGTTACCCAAGGAAGTACTCCAGCCAAATGAAAAATAAACTAGAATAAAGAATGGAAGCCAAGGTTTACAGCATAGAACAGTGACTTTAAAATCTACAGTACCATGGGCCGATGGTTCTGCTGCCTGCCTCGCAAGCACAAGGTCCTGAGTTCCATCCCTGGTAACAAAAAAAAAAAAAAAAATTTACAGTACTGTGCACCTGTAGTCCCAGCTACCCAGAATCCTGAGGGTCGGGGGGGGACTGTGGGGTTTGGGGGCAGCACCAGTGACTTAGCAGGACTCCATTTCAAAAACTGTAATAATTGATGAAATCATTGTAAAGGTTCATGTAATTTTTATACTAGAATGACAAATTATAACAATAAAGCAATCTGCAACTAAAATTTCATTTTACTTCGGTGAAGCCTAAGAGACAGGAGAGAAATTGAAGTAGTGCTGAAGATCTGATCTTACGGTTATGTGGAGGTAGGATATCCAGTCTGAATAATTATTGATTTTAATATAAAATTCAGTTGCATTTATTGGAGAATTAGTAGGCAAACATTTCATATAGAAGGAAGCAAGTTGAAGGCACAGGTTGATGGTGTAAGCCTAAATCAACAGTAAGAATAGGTCAGTGGTTAGGATAAAGCCTCTCCCATACCACTCAACAATACACAAACTAAAAAGCAACGTCTTGTCATTTAAAAAGCAGAACTACTACCTTCATTTCTTTTATAAAATTTATTTTTGACTGATCATAAACATTGTCCATGCTAGTGTTTTCATACATGTGCACTGCAGAATGTTGAAGTCAAGTTAAACACGTTTGTCTCCTCAAACACGAGTCGCTTCTTCCTGGTGAAAACTTCCCAAACCCTTTCTTCTAGCTTTTTGAATGGTGTGGGACATTATAGGTACCTTTCCTTACAAAGGCGCCCCAGAGCTTCCTGCTCCTGTCTGGGAGTTCATACCCATTGATTGATCGACCTTTCCCTGTCCTTCCCGATCCCTCCAGTTTTTGGTCCCTGGTGGCCACCATTCTACTCTTAACTTGGATGAGATCAACTGTTTTAGATTCTGCAGATGAGAGATCAGGAGGCAACCTGACTTTCTGTGCCTGGCATGTGTCACTTAACATGATGTCCCCAGTCCCATCCAAGTTGCCACAAATGACAGGATTTTGTCCCTTTTTTTTAACAGCAGAATCATATTCCACTTGCCTATGTATGGACCACATTTCCTTTACCCCTTCACCAGCTGGTGGACCTTAGGTTGTTTCCATTTCTTGGCTGTTATGAACAGAGCTACGGTGCACTCAGGGGTGCAAATGTCTCTTGAAGACGTTCATTTCAGTTCCTTTGACTTCATACCCAGTAGTGGGATTGTTGGATCATATGGTAGTTCTATTCTTAACTAGTCAAGGAGATTATTTACAGTGAGATCTTTCTATTTATAAAAGATATACTCAAAAGCAAATATCAACTCGATGTAGTGGTGCATGGCTGTAACACCAGCTACTTGAGACAAGAGATAAGAGGACTGCAAGTTCAAGGCCAGCCTGGGCAATGTAGCAAGACCCTACCTCAAAATAAAAGTTTAAAAAGGGGCTGGGGATGTAGCTTAGTAACAAAGTTTTTGTATGAGACCGTGGGTTCAATCTCCAGTAGTGGGAAAAAAGTAAATAACAAAGAATCATTTTTTAAAAAAGATATGAAAAGGTATCAGCTAAATGCATGTAAAAGGAAAGTAGGAAGACAGCTGATTTTACGAGAAGCATGTGAGACAAAGTATACTGAACAAAACAGAGACAAATATTTTAACTTTAATAAGAGGTATACTTCACCAAGAATATGTAACCATTACATAGTAAAAAATGCTTGATTGAATTAAAACTATTTGTAACCACTGTGGCAGATAAAAGGTTAACAGACTTACAAAATGACAGTACCTCCAAATTAATTCAAAAGATATCAACAAATGCAAAGCAATTCATAAAAGTGTAAACACAAGTGTCCACTCAACATACTGAGGAGCCTGTCTATTTCACATTCTTTCTAATAAGATATAATTAACATGCATTTTCTTTTCTTCTCCTTGAGGGAGGGTCTCACTTTGTAGTTCAGGCTATCCTTGAACTCACATCAATCCTTCTGCTTCAGCCTCTTGAAAGCTGAGATTACAGGTGTGCACCACCGTGCCTGGCTAGAATGCATTTTCTGATATAAATGAAAACTCTTTTTGTGGAAGATGTAGCAAGGGAAACAAGCATTTCTGAAGTCACAGTTTCTGGGGGGTCAGGCATCTGGCACCGATGTCCCCTCAGAGTCAGCACGGGAACACTGCTCCTAGGTCACCGATGTGGCTGTCCCCAGGTTAGAGGACCTCCCTGGTCTCAGTTCTTAGCCATATGGGCAGCTTCACAGGCAGCTCACAAAGTAGCAGCTTGCTTCTATCAGAGTGAGCAGAAGTGAAGATAGAGGCCAGGTCATTTTTGTCTTCTCAGCAGTGGCAACCCATTGCTTGTGCAGGTGTCGTGGGTAGGAGGGAGTGGTCCACAAGGGGAGGGTGTTATGCAAGGCCATGAGGAAGGGGCTGCCCGTAGGGCTGCAGTGGCCAGGGTGAGGTTGCAGGCGACTAATCGAGGAAAGAACTTTTCTGTTGGACAGCTGTGATGGGAAGCTCCCCGGCTTCCGTAGGGAGAGGGCTAAATTGACAGTAGGAAACCCAGCCAGTGAGCTCTATTAAATAATCATTCAAGGGCCAGGGATTTAGCTCAGTGGTTCTGCTGCCTGCCTTGCAAGCGCAAGGGTCTGAGTTTGATCCCTGGTACCAAGAGAGAAAAGAATCATTCAGTAGCACTCAGGGCCCAGCTCTGATTTCAAGGTACAAATTTGGGAGGCCCTGGAATAGAGATGCAGCCGCCAGGGAAGTAAACGGCTTCAGTTCTTCCAAGCTTAATGAGACAAAACTCATGCACCACAGGGTGGAAAGCAGTCAAATGGTTTCACATGCCATTCATTCCTTTCAGACATAATATCTAAATAACTCTCAGAGGGGACACACATGGCATCGACCAGACACTGCAGCTGTGTGGAAGGTGCCAGACAGGGGCAGATCCTGCTGTCCTGGCACGTGGGGTTGGTGGCCCAGGGTCACCGTGGCCCTCAGCAGGGTCCCCAAGGTGGGTCCAGGATGTCTTTTTGTTAGAGGGTAGTTTCCAATCTTTGTTAGACATTTTCCAAAGAAGCAGCTGTGGGCCCATATTTGAAAGGTTATTTATAACTTCCTTTTGCCTTATTTAGGGTACAAAAGGACAAAGTTCCTCTCCAGCCTATTTGTGGAGGTACACACAGCAAAAAAGGAAACAAACAGGATTTCTAAAGAAAGATGCTTTTAACGGCAGTTTCCTTCTCTGCAGACAGAAAAGGGTGCAGGAATAGAGGTCCGGCTCTCTTAAGGGTGACAGTCTTCACCTTTGGGTGATCACATGGAGGGTGAGACAGGCGGTTCCCAGCTTGGAGACATCGAGCCTCGATGAGGGATTTTCCTGCTTGTCCTCCATAGCCCTCCACGCGGGGTGGGAGCCTTGGAGAGGGCTCGGCTTCCGGTTGTCCCCAGCTTCCGGTTGTCCCACCCTGGGGTGGCCTGGGCCTCTGTAATGAAACGTAGGTTCCCCGCCCGGCTCTCCTGGGGCTCCTAAACTGGAGTGCTTCTCAAGTCACTGAGACCCTGAGCAGGAGAGGGGGAGAGGAGGTGAGAGGGGAGGAGGTGAAGATGGCACCTGCTGTCACGGGGAACCAGGGAGCAGGGGGCTGCGGGGACCCCGGAAGAGAGAGGGGAAGGGCCGGAACAGGTGGGTGGAGACCGGAAGTGGAGTGGACCGGGCACCCCCGAGGGCCAGGAGCCATCTATTTATGAAGGAGCCAGGTTCAGCCAGCTCCACAGGGCTGAGCAGGCCGGAAGTGGAAACCTGAGAGCAACACAACGGCTACGTACCCTGCCCACCATATGCTGCCCGCTGCTGGTCCCCCTGCAGCTTCTGACGCAGGTAGGGTTGCGCCCATCGTGCAGATGGAAACGCCGAGGTGTTGCGGTCGGTGAGCACCAAGCTGCCTCTGCCAGCTGCAGGCCGCCTCGGGGCCCAGGCCCTCTGAGCAGACTGGGTCCAGCGGGCTGACGCCTCGGTTAGAGTGAAGGCGGGACGGAGGCCCGGAAGGTCCAGGCGGCGTCTGCGCTCCGCTCCGCCCGGGCCGAGCAGCGTGAACAGGGCGGCACCTTCTCGGGTTCTGGAGGTCGACGCCCGAGGAGTTCGATTCCTTCTTCTCTTTTCTTTTTCCTTCTTTCTTTCCCTGTTTCTTTCCTTCCTTCCCTACCCCGCCCCTCCCTCCCTTTCTCTCTGAAAATGAAGTTATTACTGTGGCTGACCAAAGCAGTGGTAAAATTCGAGAATATAGTCTGTGGTTTGTTCATATGCTATGTGCGAATTGAGAGTGATGATGTCTTTCAGCGAGGGCAGTGTGAATGTTCTGTGTTTCCAGTGCGTTCCATCAGGCACCTAGGCTTGGCCAGTACTTTCATGCTCAGAACACTTTAATCAAGGCTTGGAGTCTTATTTAAGCTAATCACGATTGTCCTTCCCAAGTGGACTAGAACGCTAAATCCTGACTCACGCATTAGCTGTTTGTTGTTCCCTGCTGATGTTTGTTAGACAGAGCCGGCATGCGTGCCAGAGGCCCGAGATGAAAAGGCGTGAGGTAAGCAAGCTGTGTTTCATACAGCGGAGCCCCAGGGTATTGGTAAACACTCAGACAGCGCTTTGCAGTTCACGTCTGTGTTTTATGGTTTTGTCAAAATCAAAGGCAACGTATTTACTTTGGAACAAATAATTGTGGGAACTTTCTATCGTGTCCCTGTGGCTGCTTCTTCATTGTGGTGGAATCCCCTCTGGGGTGTGAGCGGCACTGCCTGAGTCAGCAGCGCTGGCTGAGGAGGAGCCGCAGTCCAGGCTTGGTTAGGCAGAGGTGCTGCTGCACCCTGGGCTGTGGCTCCGCTCACCGGGAAGCAGCTAGGAGAGGCGCACTGTTGTTCCCCAACAGTAACAGACTTAAGGTTCTTACCTGAATACACTCTCGGTGAACTACAAGAGGGAGGAGAATGTCTCAACTCTGTATTCTTAGATTGTGAAAGCTGAAAGATAGCCTGGCCCTGACCTTCTCTACCTCCCTGGTCCTACGGCAGAGGGTGTCTGTAAGACTGCATAACTCTGTAATCATAAAACTCCCCTAGCCCCACCTGTGATTGAATGTGAGTAAATAGATAAAGACGCTTCTTAGTTCTGGGACACTAGATAAGATCCCTGTCAGTCATAATTATCCAACCCTATGTTCCGGACACCACTCTCTATAGACCAATCTACAAAGCATCTGCTGACTAACTGTACATGTCAGGCTAATTAACATACAAATGTAAGACCACTAAACCTTTGTTCCTTCTTTGGTAAATTTCGCCTGTTAACTCCCCTGCAAGCCCCTATAAAAAGAGCCTCTGACTCTGGACTACGCCTCTCTAAGCTACTTTGCTTTGGGAGTGCCGTCTGGCCAGACTAAGGTCTGTTTCACTTTCCAACTTGTCGGTGTGTTCCTTCCCGGGTGTTCTTCGCTGCAGTCAGCTCCTTGGAGCATTTGGTAAAGACAGCGGTCTTACATTCTGGAGGCACCACTGGGATCCCCGGGTGTGCTCCACTTCAGCTCCTTGGAGCATTTGGTAAGGCCTTTGGTCTTACATTCTGGAGGCACCACTGGGATCCCCGGGTGTGCTCCACTTCAGCTCCTTGGAGCATTTGGTAAGGCCTTTGGTCTTACATTCTGGAGGCACCGCTGGGATCCCCGGGTGTGCTTCACTATAGTCAGCTCCTCAGAGCTTTTGGTAAAGACAGCAGTCTTACAGTGACCATGTCTTTCAGGCTCCGACACCACGCAGCCCTCTTCCCTGCTCAGTTACAAGAATGAGTGGCCATCAGGATGAGCTCCCTCTACCTACAAGCAGCTCATACAAGGAGGAAAGTCTGTGAACCAAGAATTATGAGTTTTAATGTTCCAAGCCACACTATCACCTTTCTTTCAAAAAAATTAAGCATTGAAACTTTTTTATTTGTTTAAAATAACAGTGACCCCTACCCTGCACTCCCTTTCAGACATCACCCCCGGAGCTCAAGGAGTAATGGGAAGGGTGGAGCTAGAAATGTCCTTAGTTGTCTCCGGAATAAGTCCCTGAGTGCTGAGGCCACAGCTGGGGTTTTCTGAAGGCTCACTGGATTCTTACACTCTGACCCATTGCCGCTATGCTAACTAGGAAGCGTTCTCTAATCCGAAACCCAACAGCTCAGGTTAATGGATGATACTGATGCAGACATGTCAGGCAGAAGTGGTGACACACTTTAGGAGGGAAGCATCATGAGAGATTGTCAGCAGCGTCCAGGAAAAGTGATTTACATAAAGGTTTGCACAGAACTGGCCAGGTGTAAGATTTTCCCCAAACTCAGAAATGTAAAATTTATCTTGAATTTTCTCTTCCTTTGGTTAGAAGGGATTTTGTCTTAGTCCCATGTTGCAAGGACTAGAGATTATGAACACATGATTCTATCTCCATTCTAGATGTCTTCTCCCCCAACTTCTGTTTCTTGTTTTTCCTGCCTTAATGGAAGGATTCATTACTATTCCCCGGAACTACTTCAATAAATAAAAGAGTACTGTAGGAAGCATAAGACTGGAACAATTCATGTCATTCAAAAGTGTAAAAATACTGTTCATTATAAATGACGATAGTTATACAGAGCACCATATATTGTCATTATGGTCTAAAAATTAGAGTATTGTAGGAAGAGGAAAAAAGCCACATCGTTTGTAATTTACATCCTGGAGTTCTTCCTCTTGCAGAAAAACATTTAAGAACATTTTTTTCCCTTTTAAAATCAACAGCACACCACCGTGAGAATCGAGTGGTATTGAATTCTTGGGAGAATTTTACTGAAAAGGGTTACATCTTATCTGCTTCAGCCTTGGTGACAAGGGACACTTCTGAGCTGGGTATGTTGGTGTGTGCCTAGAGTTCAAGCTACTTAGGAGGCTGAAGCAGGAGGATGGCTGAACCCAGGAGTCCAAGAGCAGCCTGGGTAACAGAGAGAGACTCTTTGTCTTAATTCCTCAAGCATCAAATGACTCTTCTAATAGTCTGTACTTTCCCTGGTGCTCTGTGCTTAAGCACTGCTCTTAGAGCCACAGGGGTGGAAGCCGAATTACACTGGCATGAGTGAGTGTCGGGTGGCCGTGAAGTGGACGTCAGGAAGTATGAGCTGCTTTCTGGATTTTGGCAGTGAAGGGAAGAAGAGAGGCTGGATGGCCCTTTGACGTTAGTGTTCTTGAGGGAATGACCCCTAAGCAGGAAGAGAGATGGAGCTTGCTTTCATAGGCCGAGGGGCGGGGGGGGAAGAAGCCCCAGCCAGAGGGATGTGATGGTTTAGATCTAGGTGTGTCCTGGAGCCTCACGGGACCATAGATGGAACTTATAGCTGACTTGCTGTTAGGTGGTGGGGCCTGGTGGGAAGAGGTGGTTGCTTTGGTGCGACCCTGAGGTTATAGCTCTCTTCCTAGTCCCTCTCCTCACTGACTCTGCTTCCTGTCCCCCCTGCTGTGAGAAACTCTCCTCCACAAGGCCCCTCTGCCATGCTATTCTTCCTTGGAGCCAGCTGACCAGGGACTGAACCTCCACGAAATGTGAGGCAAGATAAACCTCTCCTTCTTTACTTTGTAGTGGTTGAGTATTTTCTCCCAGAGATGAGGAAAGTGACTAAGACAAGGGAGGAAGGGAAGAGGCACACAGACTGGCCGTTGGTATGGATGCTCAGGGAGGGTAGAATGGATAAGACCTAGGTCACAAGTAGAGTGGTTAGTGCTGAAGAGCAGGAGGCCGTTCTCTGTACTGGGCAGAAAAGAGGAGAAATGGAGAAAATGTAAAGACATTTGAGGAGGAAATGGGGAAGGTGAAAGAGTTAGCCCATGGTCTCAGCTTTGGCAAGGATGTAGGGTTTGAGGGGGAGAATGAGGTAGAACTGGCTTTGTAGAAAATAAAGGAGGATTACTGAATAAAACAAGTGTGGAGTCGGAAAAAGTGCCAGTTGAGAGTGGATATACAAATTTCAGCTTCAAAGATTTAAAAGAGTGTTTAGTGTCTTCATTAATAATTAGTATCGGGGGGGGGGAGCTTAAGGATTCTTAAGATGAGGAAGGCTGTTATCATGCATGAGTAGAATCACTGGCACTGGGTAGAGATTATAAAGGATGCAGTAGACTAATGGTTTGTGAGAACAGGAAACATTTTAGGAATTGAGAGGAAATGATGGCAGAGAGCAAGCTGAGAAGGAAGTTGAAGCTGCCATAGAAGAGGTCTTGCAAGTGAGCTATTCCAAGTTATAGATAACTGATCTAAATTGGGGTCTGTTTGTGGGCAGTGCAGCGGTCAAGGACATGTGAGATGTGGCACTTTGCAGGCTGACAATACGGACACTGAGGCCCCTGAGGGTTAGAGTTTCCTCTGTCCCAGGACTCATCCCTCTGGTGACACTAATTTCACGGTTCTCTTGTCAATGTTTGTTTCTCACAGGACAGCTAATCTGTGCAGAATTTGAGTAGGATCTTACCTTTATATTCCAGTGCCTGGTGCAGGATTTAATGCAATGTATTCTGTTCATGCAATGTAACTGCTAAGTACATGGAAAGATCAAACTCGAACCAGCTACATTTTATGAAAAAGCCAATGGAAACAACAAAAACAGAGACAGAGGTGCACAGTATCACCATGAGGAAGGGTCGCAAGGGGAATGGTATCTTCAGGGCCAAGCCAACACTGGTGAGCAAGGACAGAGGAGGAAGTTCCCAGGGGAACCCTTGGGGTGGGACAGGGATTCGTGTTCCAGGGAGGGTTGGGTGGGGTCAGAGTGAGCGTGTAGGAGGTAATGACACAGCGTGAGGAGATCTAATCAGGCCATACTGA